ACGCCACTTTCACCTGGAGGGTTCCAGCAAGATACGCAGGAACCGGAACATCTCAACCTGCCTCATTTCAATATGTTTAACCACTCTTAATTGTAGGCAGATTATTTAGGAAATAACTGAAGTTACTCAAGAGTATATCACCTCCCGTTGGTTTCTTCTAACCTCCTTGGCAGCTGGAATTTGCCACCTCCCACTGGCAGGGGAGAAGAGCTGTAGGCCTTACGTTAGCCATCAAACATTGCAGGCACAGATAAAAGGCAGTTAGATGCGCACAAGCCAAAGCTTGTGTTCTTCAAATAAGCTTCCAGAGATGTTCGTTCTCTCCAAGGGTGACCTTCAAGAGAGTAGGGGAATTTAAGCCAAGACTTTGGGGGTGTGGGTGGGATTTTGGGTTTGTTTTGGTTTTTTTTTTTTAAATCTTAGCATAAAACTTCCAACAAAATCTCCAGTATCGTACTTAAGCAGCATTTTAATCCATCTGCAAACTCCAGCTAACGGTACAGAAGCGCTAAACTAACAGGAACCCAGTAGACAGCCTTTGAGAAAAAGATTTTCCCAAGTCAAAACCTGAACTCCTGTGTGAATTTTTAACATATTCTGCTCCATAGGCACAAGCAGGTTTCCCACAGAGCTAAAAAGCTGCCTTCGCAAAGGTAGAGCAAACGTTCCCTTTGGTGAGCAGGTTTTCGGAAGCGACGGGCAGGATTCTCGAATCCCTTATTCAAATTTGTCCCAACGGATGCGTTGAACGCCAGCACGAGCCGGTGCAGGACAAACAGCCATGGGCTGCGAGAGAAGGGTTTCGCTCCAGACCCAGCGACAGAGATGAGCAAATCCAATACCTTCCCACTGCGGCGCACGCTATAAATCCCAGTAACGGGTTTACGGCACGACAAGCAAGCTGGCTTTTCCACGCGTGGCCACTGGTGCAAACAGTCAAACTGAATTCTTTAGAGGTGCGAGGGGATGTAATCAAACTCACGAAATCATTTGCTTTGCTAAGTCACAACCCCTGAAGAACACTGAAATCTTCTGGCAAATCATTTCCCTTCCCACTACGTCTTGGAGGGACTCTGCTGAGAAACTATAAAATCTGAAAAGATTTTCTGTTTCATATTCCTGGAGCTTCCCTACCCTACCTTCATGCATTTCACAAAAAGAGGGAGAAAATAAGGTGCCGCTTGGCTTTTTTAAATTTAAATATCTGCCTCGACCAACATTTGGATAGACTGTCTTAATGCACTTCAGTTCTAAGACATTTCTTCTCCACACAGACCAAGGTTTCCTTTACATCGTATGTCAACAGGCACCAGACCAAGTTAGTATTAATACCAATGGCTTACAGTTTTAATTCCACTGTAACTACTGAAGCTTCACTATTTCCCCTTTAAAAAAAAAAAAAAACCTTGCTTTAAAAATCCTGGCAGAAGTGAAAGCCCACAATTCCCACTGTATCTATAATTAAAGGGAAAAGTCAGTGCATCTTCTCTTCAGAAATTCACATGTTTAGATTATATAAACAGACACCTTGTCCAGAGGGTTACAGGCTTTAAATATTCCCTCTTTAAAAGAGCCACTCCTAATACTTAACACCATCTCACCTCTCCCCAGCCTCCCCACACACGCCGCCCTGCCTGCCGACGGCAGAAACGATCCCCAGCCCTACAAAAAATAGCCGGATGAATCACCTTCGGATTCATATACCATCTGTTGCGCGCTAAGGCGATGTGGATGCATATGCCGATTCTCCTGCGGAAGCCGTGCTGCTATACGCCCTGTTTCCGAGAGCTCGACTAGAGAACGAAAACACACAGGAATTAATCTATTGTCAATTAATGTTGATCGCATTTCTCCCATGCAGAGGCACAGCACAGGCCCCTGGGCTAGTCGGAGCTAAAGCGACGTCACACATGATTTTGTGAGTACACCGAGTACTTAAACGCGCTAACTGTATTTATGATGGACCTAACAAAACAGTTACAAACTAAATTCCCAGTAAGGATAATCCCTTGTGATGGGAGACCCCATGGTGCAGCCATGAGATGATCTTTTTCCCCCTCCCTTGGCACAGCAACAAGCAAGGGCCACCGAGTCACAGGTCACCATTTGCTTTTGGAGCTGAGCCCCTGGGCTCTCGGATGAGTTTTATTTTGACATCAGTTTTTATTCAGAACGTCCCAACGGAGTGTTAAGCCCCTGTGCATGGCTTTAAAAAGAAATAAATGTAACAATAATAAGTAATATTGCCAAAAAAAGAACCAGTTTATTGACTGAGGATCTGCAGGAGAGTTTGAATCCCACTCTGTTACGTATTTTCACTTGCTTTCTATTCTGTCTTGCTGGCTGTATGTTTATCGAATTCACAGAAGGCATTCATTTGGGAGTGACTGCAAGCAAGTTAGGGGACAGAATGCAAAATAATCTTGAAAAACGCAGAAGTGACCTCAAGAGGAAAATGAAGCTCAGCAGGGAGAAGTAGTACAAGGATATGCACGCAGGCAAGAACGACTGGCTGCTTAAACACAGACTGCAAACACCTGGGTAAGCAAGCTGGGGGTTATAACCAAAGGAAGCAAGGTAAGACAGTCAAGACCTGTTTCATTAAGCATTTTTTTTTTTTTTTTTAAATCTACTGGGTTAATTTAATCTCTTGGAAAAATTTCAACACACAAATACGTCCAGGGCAGCGTTAGTCAGCAATGTAGTGGCATACAACATCCTTTAGGCCAAAATATTTCTGGTATGCTGCTGGGGCCAAAAAAAAAAAAAAGTTAACATTATCCTTGGAGGAATAAAGGTGGGGGAGGAAAAGCTGCGAATGGGGTTTTACTGCAGTGCACAGCTTTGCCTGGAGCAGCGAGGGGGATTCTGCTGGACAGACTGACAGCAAGTGAGGAAAACCTGAAAAAATTCAGGGGCTGAGAAGGAGCTTTTTGGTGAGAGAAAAAGGCAGCTTGCATAGTTTTACCAGAACAACTGAAAGGTGATGGACAGCAGAGAAGTAAGTTAGTGATAAGGAAAGGTGGTCTCCACCCTCTTTTCTTTCTGTAGATCAAGATCTAACAGCTGAAAGCCAAGTCCAAACAAAGCCCTCCCAGAAAAGGCATGCGATTTTAAACACGAGGGTAATTAAACTCTGAAATAACCTATTCAGCTGGGCAGCGGATTCTCCTCCGTTCCTTGGCACGCAGAGTTGTCAGATGTTATTCCGGTGCAGGAATTTACATGCAAGGCATCTGAGAATTTTTCTGAAGCAGAGGGAAGCTAAGAAAATAAGTGATTAACCAAAGAAACCATTTGTTCCAACACTGCACCTCAACATCAATTTTGGAAACTCTTCTGTCGTTAAATGGCTGAACAACAGTAGCAGCACGGGTTTCATTAGAGGAGTTTTCTGCTCCTTCAAGCTTTTGAGCCAACAAAAAGTCCACATTAACCAGCTCCTAATCACCCAGCTGCGGCTCAGACACCATTGCTTAAGCGCACAGATTAGCGATGTACGCTCCTGGATGGGAAGGCAACCAGCTCCAAGGGGAATTTTTAAGCTTGTATCTGCCTTGCTCAGATGGTTTTCTTCAGCTCTGGAAGAATGTGGACCTAGAGGTCACTGAACTAGCTACTCACCAACTGCAACTGTACTCACCTCCTAACCATCAAACCTGACCAGCACGCGTTAATGCACACCGCAGGGCCTGCGTGGTGCCTGTTTCTGGGAGGCTGAGGAAGAGCAGAGAGAGAAGGGGGTTGCTGTACAAGGCAGTAAGTGGAAGCATTCACCCGCATTAATTCTGATAAGCTGCAATGTTTCAATACGTCACGGGACAGAAAAGTAGGCTGTTCTGTTATAGAAAAATAGGAAACTCCT